ATATTTTAATATGTTGAAGTGTCTGATCAGGATTAAGGAACAAGTATCTTCGATGGTCTGAGTATGGGTTTGGAGTAAGAACGCAGGTCGATGACGTGCTTAGAATTGAAGAAAAACCCAACCTCCTTCCGATCGCAGACGTTACCGATTAAGGAGGCAAAGCTATTAGATTCGAAAGTACTATACAGTAATGCTAGTTCATACATGTGCACGTTCCTGGAAGATAATTGAAGTCATGCTAATTTCTGCATCGGAGTTGACCACGAGTTTAGCGTGATATTCTCGAATGCTAAGAATGAGGCGTGGTCCCAGCACAAACATCTGCACGCCCGACAAGATTGGAACAGCACCAACAAGTATTTGGGTTCCCATAGAATTGGAGTTCTACGGAAATGATGAGCGGTAGTTACACGCAGATGACAATGGCAGGTCAGCGCACCGTGAGATCCGGTGTGAGAATCGCAAGCTCTGGAGAGAGGATTGCAAGCTCGAGGCAAGAGACACAAGCGAAGCTAGTAAGCGAGGAACTTCAGCATAGAAAAAATAACCACATTCTAAAAATTCACCTTGCAAAATAAAGCACGTGAGATCTTATCAGCACTCTGAAACAGTCACCGATGGTCGATCCCATCAATTGGCCGTGTCGTCGCAGTTCACGAAAGTGTTTCACAGCAATCCAGACTGAAAGACATAGTGCGAGGACCTCCCAAACAGTGTAGAGCATCCAATTCATTGAGTTCAGAAGCCAGACATCCCCCTCGTATCCAAGATTGCATATATATGTGCCAGAGAGTATCAGCTCCTCTGGCGATTATGCAATGAATTGCGTTCTTCAATTCAACAAGTAAAGCTTACCTAGTAGAGTATGTCCGAGTCCTATTGCCGTCATTACTCCGCAGGCGATGTTAACAATCAGGGATACAACAACAAGTATGACAAGGATCATTCTAGATCTCTCAAACATGGTATACAACCGAGCAATCATGATAACTTGCATAGCATTTCAGTGAAGTCGATCTTACTGAGGTATTGCGGCTGATTAACTCACCGCCCAACATGGCAGCTACGACCACATTTGTCCCATTTAATGCGTAGTACATATTATAGCCTAAAATACCCATTAGTGATCACCCTCGTACTAGGATCAAACACTCAGACTTACACCTGTTTAGTTATTATGTTGAGCCAAGTTCAATGTTCAGAACCTCACTCACCCCTAAAAATCAGTGTATTCACTTGGATGGAAATGAGACGGTTGTGTAAAACTTACTGCGTCTGTCAGCGAGACAAATGGCGCAAATGCTGTGTGCCGCCAGTCAGAAGAATCGAGCACAGCGCGTATGAAACGTACCCAGTATATACACACTGATCGTGAAAGATAAGGTATTAGCAGTATACATTTGTTTGCCTCGACACATACACAGAATATGGTATTCCAATATAGCGTGTCTAGAACATTGGAGAGTCAGTACAACTGCCGACCACGCTATAGCACAAAATGAGGTACGAACAACCAAATATAGCACAGTCATGAGAGACCATCGTTGTCTCTGTCGCGAATTCATTGTTTTTCTCCTGATATGGGACTTTGTGAGTCACTCACCCAGATTAGTTCAATCTATTATATCTTTCTTAGCGAGTTAGCTGCTGCGGCGATAACATCGACCTACCTCTTGTCCAAGTACTAGAACTAGAAATATCATAAGAATATCAGTAGTTTTGGAACGATCTTCTGCTGACCCCAATCATATAACACCACGACGCCGGCTGCAACTGCGACAGCGGAAGTCAATGTCACTAGATCGAGACGTCTTGATGCGACGAACCTATCCAATAGCTATAAAAAACATTCGAATTGATTTTCGGCCACCAACTTGGATCATTTATGACTACAGTCATATTCGAGGGATGGGTGCGAGCAAGTGAGGGGTGTTGGGTGCACAACGATCTAGTGTTCGTTAGATATACTTACTATGACTGTTCGGCGCTCAGCGCTCGTACTATACTCAAAATCGTCATGACATATGGTTACGTGTTAGACAGATGGTTGCACTTGTGATTCGAGACCCTCTAGATATACACACAGCAAATGGTCTGAGCTAGCCGAGGGCATCGTGCGCCACTGCTGCGGCAACAGCCGCAACCACTGCCGCGGACCGCCACTCGATCTGGCATACGTCTTGTTGTATCATTTTAAGCCCAGTCATGTTCTTGGAAGATCAATGCTAACACTCACGAGCGCCCTGGTTGCCTCCCATGCAGACTCGTACCATGATGGCCTCGCCAGACTGCCAGTCATTCCATTGCAGAGTCAGCCTCCTGCGCCAGTTCACTCCTTCTAAGGGGGGAGAGATTATTAACCCTTGCACCGGGAACATGCCATGTACGTTGGCGATACCTGGCTCAACAAAGTATTGCCAACGGCTGCTGAAGGACAGCGAGAGACAGAGACAGATGGCTTATTTGATGTGATTTCAGAGGCACGTCAAGTTGTAGTGATGTCAGAGGGCCGTCATGGTCATTCACATTCTATAATTTTGATATGCTTAAGTGTGATCAGGATTAAGGAACAAGTGTCTTCGATGGTCTGACTAGGGGTTTGGAGTAAGAACGCATGTCGATAGCATGAACTTCATGACAATTTGTATCTCACAATCTTTAAACGGTACGTGCTTGAAATTGAAGAAAAACCCGAACTCCTTCCGATCGCAGACATTGTCGATAAGTAAACGAAGATATTAGATCCGAAGGTATTACACAGCGCTGCTAATTGATACACGAGCACGTTCCAGGAAGACAATCGAAGTCATACTCATTTCTGCTGCGTCAGAGCCGGCCACGAGTTTAGTGTGATGTTCTCGAATGCTAAGGATAAGACGAGGTCCCAGCACAAACATCTGCACGCCCAAGAAAATTGAAAGTGCACCAACACCAACAAGTATCTGATTTCCCATAGAATTCGAGCTCTACAAAAATGATGAGAAGTAGTTACACGCAGATGTCAGCGACAGGTTAGCGTACCGTGAGCTCTGGAGTGAAAGTCGCAAGTTCTGGAGAGAGAATTGCAAGCTCGAGGCAAGAGACACAAACGAAGCTAGCACGCGAAGAACTTCAGCATAGAAAAATAACCACATTCACATTACAAAATCACCTTGCAAAATAAAGCAGGTGAAATTTGATCAGCACTCTGAAACAGTCACCGATGGTCGACCCTGTCCGTTGGCCAAATCGTCGCAGTTCACGGAAGTGTTTCACAGCTATCCAGACTGAAAGACAGAGTGCGAGTACCTCCCAAACAATGTAGAGCATCCAATTCATTGAGTTCAGAAGCCGAATATTCCCCTCATATCCAAGATCGCATGAATACGTGCCAGACAGGATCAGCTCCTCTGGCGTTTATTCAATGAGTTGTGTTCTTCAAGTCCACAAGCAAAGCTTACCAAATACGGTATCCTTGAGTCCTATTGCTGTGATGACTCCGCAGGCGGTGTTAACAGCTAGGAAGATAATAACAAGAACGATAAGGATCATTCTAGATCTTTCATACATGGCATGTAACCGCGCAATTATGATGACTTGGATTATGTTTCAGTCAGATCATTATCACCGAGGTATTGCAGCTGAGTGACTCACCGCCCACCATGGCAGTTATGACCACACTTGTCCCATTTACTGCGTAATACAAAATGTTGCCTGGAACACCTGATTAGTGATCACCCTTATATTAGGATCAAACACTCAGACTTACACCTGTGTAGTCATGATGTTGAGCCACGTTCAATTTTAAGACCTTCACTCACCCCTACAAATCAGTGTATTCACTTGGATGGGAATGAGATGGTTGTGTAACACTTACTGCATTTGTCAGAGAGACAAATGGCGCAAATTCTGTGTGCCGCCAGTCAGAGGAATCGAACACAGCGCATATGAAACATACCCAGTATATACATACTGATCGTGAGAGACGAGGTATTAGCACAGTGTCAATTTATTGACCTCGACACAGCAGAATATGGTATTCCAATACAGCGTATCTAGAACAGTCTGGAGTCAGCACAACTTGACAACCACGCTATAGCACAATATGAAGTACGAACAACCAAATACAGGACTGTCATGAGAGACCAGCGTTGCTTCTGTAGTGAACTCGTTGTATTTTCCTGTGTTTCTGCTGATGCTGACTGTCACTCACCCAGATCAGTTCAATCTATGACACCATTCTTAGCGAGTTGGCTGCAGGCTGCGGCAATAGCACTGACCTACCTCTTGTTCAAGTATTAGAACTAGAAATATCATAAGAATATTAGTATTTTTGGAACAATGTCCTGCTCACTCCAATCATATACCACCACGACACCAGCGGCAACTGCGACACCGGAAGTCAATGTCACTAGATCGAGACATTTTGATGCGACGAACCTATCCAATAGCTATAAAAAACATTTGAATTGATTCTCGGCCACCAACTTGGATCATTTATGATTACAGTCATATTCGAGGGATGGGTGAGGGATGTTGGGTGCACAACGATCTAGTGTTCGTTAAATATACTTACTATGACTGTTCAACGCTCATTATACTCAAAATCGTCATGACATATGGTTACGTGATAGACAGTTGGTTGCACTTAGCGATTCGAGACCACACAGCAACTGAGCAAGTGGTTTGAGCTAGCCGAGGCCGAGGGCATTGTGCGCCACTGCTGCGGCAACAGCCGCAACCACTGCCGCGGACCGCCACTCGATCTACTGTACGTCTTGTTGTATCGTTTTAAGCCCGGCCATGTTCTTAGAAGATCAATGCTAACACTCACTGTTCGATGGGAGGTGATTGTTATTTGGGCAGTGTGGGGAACATAGGACGCGGGCGGCGGGGAACCCTAGGCCTGATGAGGTCATAATTCACGTGACTCTGGTCCGTGCACGCTTACGTGATTCGTTGATTGTTGATTCATTTTGCAATTTCTATTTCCTGATCGAATTGTACTGGACTCGTTGTCTATGGCTGCCGTTGACCTCGTCCTTCGCCGTTCCACCCGAATAGCACAACACCCTCATCATCATCATCACCACCACTATACAACTAAACGACATCCTCTGAATAAATTAGAAGAACCACATACTTCTACTACCAGCGAGAATGACGAGCTCACTCCACGTGCACTCAGAGCACTCAAACGTCAGCGTCTAGCGCTCGACACGGACGGTCTTCTACTCCCTCATATTGAGACTAATCATAGGAGAAAGAGACGTAAAGAGAATGATAATACGAATATCGCTCATGGTAACGTCGGCGAGGTGCGTCGACGCATCCGCCAAGTACGAGTTAGAACCCGTGCTCAAAACGTGCCAAAGCCACGCCACATCCCACCTCTAGCACCAACAATCATCGATCTACCTATACAACCAGTTACGACTCAAGAATCCCTTCGGAATGTCCTTGCGGATCAACCAAGTATTTTAGCGCCCAAGGATCATGACGAGCCTGCATCAGCGGAGCCCAAGTTGACGACGGAGAACAAGTCGGAGGAGGAGTCAATACCAACGACAGAGTCAAAAGTGATGACGGAGACAAAACAAACGCCGTCGTCGACGCCACTTGATCTTGACTCTTTAATCCCATTAGATCCTTTACCCGAATTTCCTCCAAGTGACCCAGCTTATACCAACTCTTCAGACTTTGCGTCAAATCCCACATTTCCCCCACCCACAGATTTAAACCCCTTCTCTTCAAATACAATCCCCTTCCCATCATCTCAGCCCGGTCCTTTCGGGTCAAATTCATTCCCAACCTCCTTTTCCAGTGGCTTCTCTAACCAGTTCATTCCCCAACCCGATTTTTCTCCCTCTCAAGACAGTGCTTTTTCAAATCCAGCCTTCCCCACCCAAGAGTATACCAATGGATACAACCAGTCCAATGGATACCCCCAACAACGTATGTTCCTCCTTTTTTCATTATTACCATCGCATAACACAACCCCAGCCACTTTCTCCCAATCAAACTCATTCGACTACACACCCGCACCGCACCGCGATCGAGAAATCAACATCTGGAAATTAGCATGTCAAGAACGAGTAGAATTTCTGTGAGTCTTCTAATTTCATTTTGATTCCACACCACTGACGTCCCTCAGACTCCGTCGCTACGGCATAGAGACAATCAAAGCCCTCGTCGCATCCGAAGCACGTACCCCTTTCCCCTCCCCATCCACCCACTCCTCCAACACCCGTTTCCGTCTCTACACACCTGCTTCCTACCTCGAACATGCAAGCTACACCTACAAGTCAACTGCATTTGAAGCTATTGATTTTGATATGGACGACGAAGAGGATGAAGATGAAGATTTGGATGAATGCGACCTTTCCGGTGACTATGATGATGATTATGATGATGACGAAGAGGATGCGGAGGCCGAGGACGGCTTGTTTTCGATGGATGTGGAAGGTACCAAGACAATTCCGGCGCCTTGTGTCCCGGCGATTGTGACCCCTACGGTCCCGACGGTTCCGTCGATTTTGCCGCCGATAACGCCTACACCGCAGAAACAGGCTACATCACCTCCCAGATCTACATCGCCGCCCGGGCGGTCTTTATTAGATACGATCCCAACTCCGCGCCCTTTGTGTGGGTCTCCGCCATGTTCGCCTCCACGTCGAACGCCCTCTCCTCCTTCTACTCCTCAGCGTCTTTCTACCCCTCCCTTAGCATCAACGCCCACACAAACCTCTTGCTCAACCCCAGCATCTCCCTCCACATCAACTCCTCCACCATCACATCCAACGCCCACACCCCAAACACCACCTCCAATACACTCACCCCAAACACCACCTCAAATACACCTACCCACCCTCCCACGCACTCCACCTCTCTCCTCTCTCCATGTAACCCTTCTCTCAGAGCCTCCTCGCGCATTCATGGGGCGCGGCACTCCTCCTGACAGGAGACGACTGAGCGAGTGGGGCAGGTGGGGGTGTGTGCAAGTATATGGGAAGGGCGGCGAGAGGAGACGGTTGAGTTTGGGACATGGGGGAGATCATATGCATTTGCAGCCTATACAGTGCGCAGAGAGCTTGGGTATGGGCATGGGGCAACTGCGTAAAGAGGACATGGCGAGGCACGAGAACCCACAACCACTACAACTCACCGAGCACCAACCCCTGCAGCAACACGAAGACTCACATCCGCATCCCAACCCCCACGAAGACCCACCTCATACACATGCCCACGCTCACGCTGTACCAGGTGAATGGACAAGTTTCCTATTCGCCATGCTTGAAGGGGACAGGACGGGGAGCGCGGGGTGGTATGAACTTGGTGCGCAGGGAAGTGGTGAGGGCATGGGTGCTGATGGCGTGCCGCAGAGTATGAATCTGGGCGTGTTAGGAGGGACACAAGGTATGGTGGGGAGTTTAGGAGGGGCGCAGACTGGATTAGACGGGACGCAGGGTCTCGGTATGGGGGCACAGAATCTAGGCATGAGCGCAGGCGGGCAAGGACTAGGAATGGGCTCGATGACACAGCCTGTTTCCATTGGAGAAGCGGATAGCACGCTGAGGTTTGCGCTTGGGTGAATTGCGCTGGCCGTCGTTCGCTGGATCAGAGCACTCGCGGCTCACCTCTTTTGTTGTATACCTTGTTGTACCTGCATTCACCTCATCGTCTTATTCACCTCCTCGCATTCACCTCTTCGCCACACCTTGCCCTGTACCTTTCCACTCTATCACGCTCCTCACATCACACCCGCCCCAAAACCTCACAACACGACTCAACGCAATATCAATGTAGCGATAATTTCTCTTGATCAATATCAGGATTATAGGATTTTTGGTTATACCAGCGAACTCGTCTGGCGCTTTTCAGGCGAGCTGCAAGCTCATGCGCCGTATGAGCGCGCTATTGCAGGACCGGGCGCGTTAGGCCCGTCTCATCTCAACCGCTGTATCTGATTGATTGATTATTCCCACATCATGGGCTTTGTACCTCATACACCTGTCCTCGCTGTATACCGCCACTTCGTGGTGTACACTGCCACCTCGTTGTTGTACGCCTTCCACCTGGTGCCAACGCCTGCCCAGATACACGCATATCCACTCACCGATATCCTTGTACCCTTACAACCGCTTGCATATATGCACAATACGATCGACATTTGCACACGGCCACCACCGTCATCTACGCATAACACGCGTTGAGCATCTCGGATGTTAAATACAACTCCACTCGACCCCGCATGTTACCACGTACACGTCCAACAGACTCGTGACCAGCCCATCTACGAGGCAAACCAGTCTACACGCCCACATCCATATCCATCTTGTTATTGATGTCAATGCTTTCTTTCGAATTTTGGATCGTGGAGAACTCATAATGGTATAGATATATATTACGTCGTGACTGGTCATTTTGATCTGATGAATGTGTCGTGCATGCAATTTTACGGATTTTTTTGACGTGTGTGAGGCATTCATGCTAACGTTCAAGATGGAAGCAAGACATTGAGATGAAAATAAGGTCAGCATTTCACTGATTACATTTTCTGCGACTCACGTCGACCATTTGCATTACTTTGCACCTGCATGTTATACGAGCAATGACTGATCGAAGAACTGTATGAATGAGTACACAACCACACCTACTAATGCATCAGGCAAGTCTTTCAACTACAGGGCAGAATACCCAAGCATTCTGATTGACGTGTAGGTATGTGACGCGGCAGGACGTCGTTTCAGATCTGACTACAAATAGTACATCCATGAAGAACATCACAGAATTAGATTATGAAGGCTAGTGTTGACACAATTGCTGTTGACCAGTCAGTTGATGATCTGGCAGAAAGGCGCGAAAACTTACGCTAAATAGACCTGGCGCTCAGTCAAGAAAATCCCCTTCGGTCAGAATGCGACCATTGAACATCTTTCCGAGGTGAGTTGGCATATACCCCATGCCTTTCCTTCTCATTCCAATCAACTCCTTCAGCGGAGGAAGCTGGGATCGCTTGAACGAACACGATGCTCTCGCAGAAGGGCGATTCTCCTCCCTGATGAATCCATCACTGTCGGCTATCAAGTCCTCGTCCACCAGATCGGGCGCGTTGAGCCCTAAGAAGTTGCAAGTGCTGAGGTACATCTCGTAACTCGAGAAGTAGAGTTGACCCGCAAACAAGTTGAGCTGGCAAATTAGCAATTTCGATGGTCTCAGATGTGGCGTCGAAGGAACACGGTAGAGTCGAAGATCATCGCATGCCTTCATCGTGTTTGTGGTCCGAGGGGTATAGACATATAATTGAACTGCGTTGCTGTTGCGGATATCAGGCAGCAGCGTGTTTACTTCGTACGGGCTCATGACTACCAACACTCCAATGTCACTGGATACGATCCAGTTGACGGGACGCAGGTATTCATCCACTTTCTGCTTGGTAAGGGAAGTTCCCACCGTACGAGCGAAGTCACGGGTGACTAAAACATTGTGTGCCCACTGGTCGCCCTCATGAAATCCAGCAGTGGTGTTGACAAGGCTAGACAGCGCTGAAATGAATGCGGGGGACCCTGTGGGAATTCGGCCGGTCTTGACAAATTGACAAACGTCCACATGCAGGTCCTGAGCTGCAGGTTGTACTTTGGACGGTCTTTGAACTTGACGTTCTCTCTCTACCTCGTGGACTACCTCCCTTTCTTGTTCCTCATCCATGCTCCTTTCGGGTCCCATCAGAACTCCGAGCTCTTCACACTTCCTTCGGATGTCTGCATCGCAAACGAGGGATACTTGCGAAGGACTGCGTGGTGCGTACATATCCTCTAATGAGCGCTCCTCTGGTTGCAACCAGGCTGTTTTCAGGGTGGAAATCGAAGTGGTAGGGACGCGCGAGAATTGAGTCCATGCGGAATGTCGTGTGTTGAAATCCGATCCTTGTTGAACCCAATGGAATGAACGCATTTGAATGTCAAGACAGGTTTCGAGCATCGCCCAGTGTAGGATATTTGCAACGTCAAGACGGTCTGTATCAGCCATCTGAGTTGCCAAGCGAATACTTCGGTCAACTTCAGTCGGAGCGAAGAACATCACTGAGTGTCCATTGCCCAGCTTCCGCATTCGCATGCATCCTGTGTCGTTGGTTATTGTCAAAATCGATAGGCATGGACTCTGAAATCACGAACCTTGTGTCAGGCGGTCTTTCGTGACCTTCGGACCAAGTGTGACTGCAGCTCGAAACCCAGAAGGCAGCTTGACATCCGTTCCTCTGGTATGCGCGTCGTCCAGATATACTACGCACTGGTCGAGCTGTTGGGCGAAGGGGGACGACACAAGGGGCTCCACTGATCCATCCCGACTAACAACAACAATTTCATCATCGTCATTCACAAACACTGCAGCTTGAGCGTCGAGCTTGGCTCGAAGCCAGGCTTCGGCCAACTCCTGATTCTTCAATTCCAGCATCTGTGCACCCACATCCAGGAGCACGCGGACCTCGGGGATTTGTGCAACTAAGGTATCGATGAAATGTTGCACCTTCTGGCCCGACGGTATGGGTCTGTAGCAATTGTTTTCTGGGCGCAAAAGGAACGCCAGGACTCGGGCATTTGTGCTGCGTTGGTAATCAAGGTCATGCTGCACCATCGAGCTTGGTAAAAGATAGCGATTGTCGTTGGTACCAGAAAAGCCGGTCGTGAGATGTCTCTTCTCTTGAGCGAGATCCCACCCGGAGCAGGTGAGCTTGCTAGGGAATGCCTTTGCTTCCTTTGGAAAAACTACGTGGGAAAGGTAGAAATCTATGACTGCCTTGTTGGATTCGAACAGTTGTTGAAGGACATGGAGCTGCTCTGTGGACTCCGTATTGATTCCACTAAGTTGATGCAGACTTTTTGGGACGGAATGAAGTCCAGCAACCCAGGATTCATACTCGAGGGTAGGATTATCTTGCTTCAGCAGGAGCTCGAAGCACAACATCAACTGCTGGAGTGTGAGACCCCCGTAATAGTATGACAGGCACGTGAGGGTGACAGCAATGTCCGGGTGGCCAAACTCTGCCCGTAGCGAGGGCATGTCTTTTGCGCGAAATGGAACAGCTAGCATAGTTCGTTTTGGGGCAAGGCCATAGTCGACGCGCCAGCGGCGTTCTTTGAGGGCGTACACCAAGATACCACATGCCAGCAGTCCACGCAGGACTAGGAGGCCTGGCCAGACCGTAGTGTGTCTATAGCGATCCTCTACTATGCTGACACAAGCGTTGGATATATGCTCAGTCACGATAAAGCGGCAAACAGCTTCTTTCACAGGAAGAGATGCTTGATCGAAGCTGATGTTTCCAAGGGCGCCATTGATGACGTCCTCTGCAATCCATCGGACCAATGCTTCACCTGCTGTCGGGTGCAGAACACGAAGAAAGGGGAACCCTCCGTGCTCACGAGTGGACACTTCTGAACGAGAGGGAAATTCGCTTATGAGCCGAGCAGCGTGCTTCGCAACGAGACTCAGCACTTGTTGCGTCGTTGTCCACCTTTCTGGATGACCTTGAAGCGACCTTTGGAAACCCACAGTGTACACCAGCTGGTAGCGGACGTGCAGAATTTCATCACTTTCATCCAGGATGTCGCGTGTGTGATTGTCGAGCCATAGCTGAGTCCGTAGCATATGAGTGTGCAGCATATCTTTAGCAGCTTCAGTCTGAAGGGACAGCTGACGGTCGACAGCCATCAGCTGGAACGACAGGATATGGTCCGGTTGCACGACCAAGACACCCTTGGCATCCATGCATTCTTGCATCAGGTCACGATACATTTGCACTTTTGACGAGTTGATAGAGAGGGCGCGGGAGAATGGAATATAGAAAATGCGCCTTTGTGCAAGGCCGCTTAGTCGTTCGACCAGGAGCTGGAACATCTGAGCCGACAGCGACTTCAGCACGATTACTCGGACCAGTTTGTGGCCATCAGAAAGTGCGGCTGCTACGAGGGGAACGATAACGTAGGATTTGCCTTCGCCCATGTTCAGTTGGAGAGAAGTGTTTCTTCCCGTGCATGGTGACATCATCTCCAGCGCAACCTTGACCTGAACTGGCCGTGCCAGGAACTGACTTTCAATCTAAGAATGACAACATCAGTTACTGTTAATCAGCGATTTCTTTGGAGTGTACCTGTATTAAAAGCCAGTCAGGGTACTGCTGCGAATCAACCTCACATTCTTCGCTCTCCAACTCCTTGAAGAACTCGACCCAGTTCTTGTTAACAGCAAAGACCAGCAGCCTTCGCGAGCGTTGCAGTTGCAAAAGTGTTTGCGACAGCCGAATAAGAGCAGCACGCCAAGCCGTCCCCAAAGAACTTCCGGCTGCAGAAGCCATGCGAGTGAAAAGGAAATTTGGTGTAACTCGAGGCCACAATCCAGCATTGTATAACGTGTTCTCGGCAGCAGAGACAGGGGAGAGGGCATGTAAGATAGATGCGAGTGAATATTGAAATTGTTGGCTATGGAGAGAGTGGTACTGAAGCAATAGTTCCATCGTATACGGTGTGGAGTCCGGTACAGCAACAATCTTCTCGTCACAGTAAATCGACCGACTCTGGTCCAGATCGTCGGCGTATTTGAGGCGAAACTTGTCACATCCTCTGGCGCGAAAGCTGTTGATCAGCTGTTGCAACCTCGCTGTGACTTGAGAGTCTGGAAATACCAAATCTCTCCGATTGACGTTGGGTAGAATTTGGGAAGACTTCCATGGGTTTGTCATAGGCGGATCTCTATCGAACAGGTACTGGGCATTAACAGATGAGGCCGGTGATGCAACATTCGAGCTTTCAAGGCGGACATTAAGATGATATTGAGAGGGTAGTTTCGAAGGAGGTCCGGGCGTGTAGAATCGGTTGAGTATCTCCTGCAGGCCATCCAGGTGCAGCTTCAGGCAACAATTTCGCCAACAGCTGCGAAATATTGGGGAAAGTTTCCCTTGTAGTTCATTGAGATTGTGGCACGTCACTTGCAGCATGCTAAGTGCTGGAGAATTTTCGCATGGCCAGATATCCCGAACCATGCGGAGAATGACTTGCTTTTCAAAGAGACATCTGTCTTGGAAAGCTGAACGACGGCGCTTCTTTAGAGCCTTTTCAGTTTCGCCAGGCATTGCAGGTAGGTGCCTCTCCTGGCTCGTTTCATAATTTTTGGAGCACGAACTGATGATTTTGTCCAATCTCGTATCGGACGGCATCAAACCGTCCGAGAGATTATAGGAGGTGAAGTCCGGTGGGTCTTCCAGACTGCGAATTTCGGGAACTGTGGCGAAGGCTAGGAGCGTTGGCACGAGCGCATGATCATTCAACGAGCTGTATGATATCGAAGCCAGGGTAAACACCAGCCGAAATGTGTCTTCCCTTGTAGCCCTACGACAGCAGTCGTACGCAGAAAGGAAGACGTCCGGAAAAGTCGGTTGAAGCCAGTCTTTAGAGTACTGCAAACTGAGCGGCTCGCCAACGCCCTTGACATTTTGCCACTGAGCCAATAACCTGACGAGATTCCGTTGTACTGGAAGTCTGCTGGGCCACTGATGTACCATGAAGGCGCTTTGATATGCCCTCTCTTCCGCGATTTTGTTGGGAATATGACGTGAAGCATAGATGACATCGGTATCACCAAGCGGAAGTGGAAGAGAAAACTGATCAGGATAGATCGCCGAAGCACGAACTGACGCGCGCTCAAGAAGGTGGTTGGTGAACTGCGGAAGCTCATAGGCAGCCCGAAGGTTTGCAGACCCTTCTGAGAAAGTCGAAAGCTTCATTCCGTAGTCCATGATAGATTTCGCGGCTGGATAAAAACCGTGGTGCTGTGCAAGGGGCGCAAGGCAAGACCACGAAATTGTCTGCATCTTCTGAAGATGAGTGGGATACCAGACGCGCCTGGTTGACAGCGAACTGATCTCGCGTAAAAGACCTGTGTCACGAGAGCGAAGCTTCATAAATGAACGGCAAGCTGCGGAATGCAAGAGATGCAACGCTTCCTCTGTCCCTGTTCGACCTGTCAGGGGATCAGGGAGACAACCGCTAGTAACAGCGTGAAGGAGCGCCTGATAGAGCTTACTCGTCAGACCTGCGTTCCCCGTGAGACAACGTAGATCTGTGTCGACCCTGTACAACTGGTATGTCACTCGAGTACCTTCAGGAGCTATGGTGACTCGGACATGGTGACCATCAGCAGCGTATGAGATACGACCATCCGGAATGATGACGGTGCGAAGATGTTCATCCGTAACTTGCAACTTCGGGCGCAGGATGAGTTGATTGACCAATCCAAACATGGTGCCACTAGACTGAATGACATCAACGACCATGTTGCGCATGTTACGGGACTGCAAATTTCCATCCTCATCAACGAAGAATTCGAGGCCATATCGAGGTAAATCAGCCTTCAACAAGGGAGTGCTGCCGGATGCTTTGTTATATGTGACTATGATGAAGCCGGCATCCTCTAGAGGACGCAGCCTCTTGGAGATCATGTCCCACGTTTTGCTGCGTATGTCGACAAGTGTGGCACCACTGGAATTCTGCATCGTTGAGGAACCCGAAACAGCAAATTGCAAGACCCAATTGTCAGATAAAGATTTCCACGCATTTTCTGCTGGCCGAATCTCAATTTCACTTGTGCGCAGGTTAAGCCAATGAATATGACCCACAACCAAGGTGGTCGGCAGGTCGTTCACGAATTTTTGGCTCGGAATGAGCTGAAGGATAGTGGAGTCGTGTTTATGCTTTGCACGGATGATGAGATCGTTCGAGTCACGGAGAGCAAAAGACACCTTCAGGAACAAGCGAGTGCGTCATTAGTTACTGAGTGATTACAATGAGAGAGACCACTAACCTGATGGTCACAGAAGTTCCCGCGTGTCGCATATTCCATTCCACGAATATCAGCCGGAACGATGTCCAGAACTTTCTGTAGTTGATAAATGAGCCTGTATCAAACAAGATACAAGTTTCAAAGACTCACATTGCCGAAAATCGATCGGTAAGTGGGATGCTGTACTATCGTTGAAGGGAGCTTGCCCAGCTCCTTCCCGTCAACAAGTAAGCATCCGCTAATCAAATTGAAGTGCACGTCCTGTGGTAATTGGGAATGAGAAGGCGCAGTCTGCGCCAGGAGCCAACGAGAATTCGGAGCTGCCAGTGCCCTCCAGGGAGTTCCTGGTCTGTAGCTGCCCCAAATCTTGGCCACCGCGCAATCAAGACCCTCCCTGTGAAACTCTGCATATCGACGAATAGCGGGTTCTAACGCGTGGCAACATCTCTTGTCTCGTTCTAGCAGTAACTTGGAATGTTGCGGAAGATTGTCCAGTTGGCTTGGAGTGTTATCATAGATCATGACCGCACAATATGCAAATACCTTGATGTCATCGTTCGACGTCAGGAGCAGTGAAGTGTCTCCGTCGACATCGAAAGTGCTGCGACAGGTGATTGCCATATCCCGAATGCGTCCTTGTAAATCTCGGCTGACCGTCTCCTCGTTGCTGGCATGCATTTTCTCTAATAGTTGCGTCAGCAACGTAAAAGTCGCAATTCGTATCCTTTGAAGGAGCAGATATCCGTGACTTTTGACACTCTTTTCCTGAGTGGAGGACAAGACGCGGGACACAAGCATGACGATAGTGCTGATTGTGACACCTTCCAACCAATTTCCTTCAACGCCCGTCACCAAATCCTCCAGCTCTCCGAGTATTGCACCAAGGAAGGGCACGCTGTTCAATTCCTCGTGCCAAACAAGGCTGTCGTCGGACGAAAATGGGCCAACCTGTGAAATAGCTTGGGCCAACAGTAGATGAACCTCCTCGCGTCGAAGATTGAGTGTCCTTCCACGGAGTTCACGTAGGATATTCATCCATTGCAAACGCGGTCCACTCCGCAAGGTTCCAAATGCGATGAACTCGTGGATGGTCACGTCTTTGTGACAGTCCGCCTGATTGGCTATGACTTCGTTTGACGTGTGGGATGTCCCTGCAAGGTACTGCTGCAAACCACTATATGGTCCCTTCGGGAGAATGAAAGTGCACATCTTGGTGACGTCGCATCGTAGTAGTGCGTTTGTTACCCATGCGCCTGTCGTTGTGTCGAAAGGCCGAAATCGGAGTCCGTTATTTACACAGACTTTGGTGTCCGACGCAGGAATGTGAGTATTACTGTAGTGACACTTGGAGAAAGGTTTGGCATCCGATGCCAAAGTGAGCCGTTGTTTTGCATGGCACGTGCGATATTGCCTCAAGACATCATATTTTGGCAATGCCATGAAGGGATGAGTGGACGAAATCTTCTCTGGAGTGCAGATGTCAACGAAGACATGAAATGTCATAGATCTCCACATGTCAAATGCAACGGGGCATGCTAGCTCGAACACGACCGCTATCGCCTCCTGTTCACGCTCTGGTAGCGGCCACTCGTGAACATGAATCTTCATGGATTTCATCTCCTTCTCCACATGACACTTCTGACAACACTTTTTCTTGTGACTCTGCGAGCCGCTGCGGGGGTCGACAGTGTATTTGTGGTCCAAACTTTCTACGCGCATCCCTAGGTCACTATACCTCTTGTTTAGGGTCTGAAGCTCAGTCAACTTCTTCTCCCGTTGTTTCTGACCATCTGCTTCGATATGAACCTTTAAACTTTGCAGCCCGGATGACTGGTAAAAATATTGCGCCGCGAACGACTTGTCATCGTTGGTAAACGAAAGTGCCGACAGACGGCTAGAGGCCTGGCAATGACGAGCTTTCAAGTAGGTTTGCAATTTCTTCAAACGATCAAGGGCAGAAGCTTTGCGGATTAAGAGACACTCCCAAAGCGTCAATGGAATTTCGGGGGAGTATTCTGCCAAGAGTGGGATTTGTCCAACAACGATCCTATCCATCGCTACCCAGAGCTCAAAAAGGGTGAGAAGCATGATAGACAAATTCTCCGGGTTCCCTTTATAAGCCTTAAGCGCTCTCGAGGAGTACGCAGAGGCGCATGCCTCAATCGAGATGCATGCGGAATCGATACTCCGGAGTGGAATGCGTGCCACCCAGTCGTCAATCCCCGAACTAATAGAAGTCTCGAAGTCTGCAAGGGCAAGAGACGGTTCCGCGGCATGAGCAGCTATCAGGAAGCTAGCTTTGGTGTCAAGGAAATTATTGATTGTCCCGCGCGTGTGGTGGCTGGGATTGAATGAGGTTGTCTGAGGGGATGAATGCTGGTTCTGCAAAGCTTGGCGTATGTACTGTCGACTCGTGTTCAAGGAAAGATGGGTATCTTGCAAGATTTGGAGGGTCTCCGGAGCCCAAAGAGGCGAGGCCCGTTGTGCGTTCTCGACAGACCCCCATCTTTCCTCCAGGACACTCCTTACATCCTTGGTAACAACGGTGACCATCTGCGATAACTCTGGAGAAGCAGAGGATCCGAGCTTGAAAAGACGGCGTGCGATCTTTGCCGATATGAAGTGTAAGATGTCATTCGACATGTTATGGTCGAGGGCAAGGGTTGTGAGCCTCGCCATGAAAAACAGCATGAATGATTTATACGTTGTCCGTCCGAGAGTACTGCGCTCCAGAGTCGTCTGTAAGGCAACGCGAATGACAAGCCAAAGTGGAGACCGCCTCCACGGCAACTTGGCGCTGTCCCACAGCACATCATCTCCAATGCGCTTGCGGATGCGAGGGACATCAGCGATGCTCCCGAGGCCACGCAGTATACCGGTCAGGAGTTCCGTGATATATCGCGGATGCGTGGTTTCTCTCTCTTCGAGAACAGTGGAATTAGCCTTTGTCCTCGTCGCTGCTGCATCAAGGACATCTTGATCCATGTGAACGAGAAAATTCGCCAGCTCGGCGGGAAAGGTGGCGTCATTGATGTTCATATCTGGGACTGTGATAGCAGGTCCAGGATAAGAGCATATCAGCTTTCCCTTTGTGCCCATCACTGCGGTAGGGTCAGGAGAGACCTCAAATGACTCGAATATGGTCTCGGATTCGAGTTTTCTCATGACCACCGCAGCGTTTTGCGCGCGAATGAAATATACAAGGACATCTGAAAATTTATACTCAATACAGAAAAATAATGGTAATGAAATGAAAACAACGTACCTTCAGTGTTCATAGCTTTGATTTGAGATTCGACTTCTTTTGCAGACATCATGCTGAACCTGATTGAATCTTTGAGATTGCGAAGCATTCTCAAGGTGCTCGTCCAAAGCAGCAGCTTATCGGATGGCAGCAGGTCAATGAAGGTGATAGCAGCTTCGAATACTGCCTGGGATAAGGCCAGGTCGTTCTCAAGGGATTGGTCACTCCCTTGCGGCAACTTGAGGGGAAGAAATATGTGATTGATGATACATTCCAGACTAGGTCGGTCAATTGACTTGGTAGGACAATTTACTGTTGAATACTGAGCCATGTTACTAATGGGATGAGAGAGAGGAACTGGCGACTGACGGTGAAATTTGGCCACTCTAATGGAGAATCCCTAGGCGCTCATCCTGGTGACCCTCATAGGCTAGGGTTAGATCCGCATAAAACGAGGACCCTCAATGTACCACAGAAGTTTCACATCAGATCTGAGGAGTGCCACCGATATGAGCATTGAACCTTGAGGCCTTGAAGCTGTACACCATGGGGTAATGCATGATGATTGCTTCCATTTTCAATCGTCTTCCTGGAGTCTGCTGACAAATTCTGCATGAGTGCTCGCTTCCATTGTCCAATTACTACTCGGGAGTCCATCGCAGCAACATAAGAACTCTACAGCCTTAGCTTCATGGACCACGATACGAAGAACTACTATATCTTTGGAACTTAGGATCAATCAAACGCTACACGTAATTCTAGGCCGTCTAATACTCTAAGATGTCGTAGGACCTCATTGTTGCCCCAAAAATTTCACGTACGTTCAAGTTCTTCTGCAATTGGATCTTGCTTGTACTATAAATACTTTTGCACCCTAGTCCATGAAAACACGCAACGCGGTGATGGAGTTGGGGTCGTGTGAAGTGCCCACCCAACTCAAAACCTGATCTAAGTTTGCACGTTGAACCCTTGCGGCACCCGACTCTACCTCTGCCTCTCAATTAGGCTGCAACCAAGCAGTCTCTGTTTGGCGATCAATACATGCACACGTAGAATTATCTAACGTTGTAGCAGAAGTCGATTGTCTTTTTTCCAGCCGTCAAGTTACGCTCAGTCCAGCCCAACCATTCTAAGATTGTGTCGACGAACGGTAGCCTAGCGCAGGCGAAACTGGGCTTCCGTATCTGTCAGAAAGTTTCTGTTGACTTTTTTCCTCTTCTCATGCAAACCTTGTATGTTTTGTTTCATTTCTTCTTACCTGCACTACTAATATCAGAACCAGCACTTTTCAACAGCAAAAAGTTATCGTGGATGGGGCAGCTGATCATATACATGTTGAACCTATAATGCCGGTGTTTCGCCAAAGACAGAAGACGACTGAGCCCGAGGGCGGGTACTAAGTGCACTCAATTTGGTGAAGGATACGGGGATGTCAGGCTGGGGTAATATGATTGGGTACGTCATTTGTCCAAGAGCACTACGCTCGAGAATCGTCCTTAGTGCAACGCGAATTTCAAGTCAAAGCATGGAGACTGCATCTCTTGCAATTTCATGCTGTCCCACAGCATATCGTCTCCGATACGTACGCTTGCGGATGCGAGGAACATTAACGATGCTCTCGAGTCTCGAGGCCGCGCAGTATACCGGTCGGGAGTTCTAAGGCGCTCGCGCTCAATGGTTGCTAGAACTTAGTCCCAATTACAATATCACCTGCTGCAGCTGTAACTTAAAGTCACCAGAACTTTTGCGTGACATTTCAGCGCTTAGGCCTCAGGTTTGAGTCTGAAGCTTGAAGGTTTGATGCGACCAACGGAAAGCGTGCTAACTGCGGAATCGGATTATCAAAGGGCATAGGTGCTCATTAGTTTCGAACATTTTCAGCTCCAACATTCCTCAATCAACCTTCCATTGCGCAGCAACCTACTCCACAGCCTGAGGCTCGGCATTCGACCTTCCTCCGAACTTCTCCACTGCACTTCGCACGGCTTCACGTACGACCGCAGTAGGCATTTCATTCGAAGTACTTAGGATTCATTGGCACGTGTTACATTGGCATAATCTAGACCCACCCTGAGATGATAAGGATGCCTCGTTGCTGCCACAACAACTTTGTTCAAATATACTGAGCATCCTCCTTCATCAGATCTTGCACATGCGTCCAGAACGGCAACCAAAGTATAAGGTAGTATCTGGGGTCATCAAGAAACAGCTGACATACAAAGATAGTTAAACATACTGGTGCGGCATGTCCCTCGTGTGTAATACTGCGTTGTTCGATGACGGCATGCATAGGTGCAATGCGGCCTGTTCCTGGACGTCTGGACAAGTACTGGTGTGTTTAGATCCGTAGGAAGGGAAATGATGCCCTTTCTGAGACCGATACGAAGTCGAAGGGCCTCAATAGAATTCAAATTTCCTATAGCATCGGTCTGTGACATCAAAACACCTTGAAAATCACGTTGGAAACAAGTTGCTGACATCACCAACGACTGCAACTTTCCTGGTGTTCAAGTTGTTTGCGGTTTGCAAATAAAAGGGTACTTTGATTATGTAGTGTTGCGGAAGTCCGGTTTGGTCCGGTTCAGCAACAAATTTTGCGAACGCTGAACCGGACCTCACGTCCGGTTCAATCGTTTTGCTGAACGCTGAACCGGACGCCATGAACGCGTTCATGGCGTCCGGTTCACGTCCGGTTCAGCGTTCGAACATCGAACGCATTGTAAATATACTCGATTGTACTATAGCTAGTAGTAAGGAGTACTGGTACACTACTGTGAAGCAAGGCCAAGTGAAATTAATGCAAGGCAAGACTAAAGATCAGTAAGGACAACAGAAAGGTCGTTTTCAGTTACATGAGCGAGGGGCTCAATACGAGCGGCGGCCTCAGCTGCAGCCTGGATATGCCTGTTATGATAAGCACTCTTCAACAGTTGGAGCGCCTCAAAGATATCGGGCGTGAGCCGGTTGTGTCGACTCTGATACTGCCGCTTGAAAGGGCCCGTTCTGATGGAGTGGCAGAACCTTGAATCGCAAGAAAATCTCTTGCCATGCGGGAGAGTGTTGGGTATGCCACAGAATGATGCTGGTAGGTGCATCAGTAAATAACTACTAGTCGATGCAATAGATATAACTTACCCCCCACCAACGGACAACATCTCCCACATCTTCCAATGGAGCCGTCAAATATGTGGCGAGTTCTTGACGAGGATTCGCAATGCAGTGTTCGGATGATCGACGAGCGACGAATCAGATTCCAAGCAAAAAAGTCGCGAGTAATCATGTCATGTTCAGTAGGGACGTTCAAAGTTGGGCGCCCACGCCCACTGCCCACACCCATGACCCCTTCGCCCACGCGTCGTCACCTAAAATGTAGTTTGCATAATTAGATAATACAAAGTAATTCTGAAAATTTATTGGTTTGTTACCTTCACTCACCATCAATCAGATCTGCGCATATGGCGAAGAAGAAGGATAACGGCGTCACAATCCCGGAGATTGTCTGGACTGATGACTTGGTCTGGCAGCTATTGGTGCAGATTGAACTATCGGAGAACAGAGTCGTGCTTCTAGGCAAACGGAAGAAGGGCGAGGTAAGTGAGTCAAAGTTGTCATATATGATACGAGATATGATGTTTCTGTGTCAGAACACGTCAGGTGATAGCAAAGTGACGGTGTATCAGTGCATGGCGGCTGCCGTTTTCCCGCAATTGCACAGCCAGAATGCTGTCACAATGGGGGACCGAGTCAAACGAAAGTATGAGTAGTGAGTGCTGTGCTTTTCTCACTATTTTTCAGCTTACAATTCTGCTCAGCTTAACAAAAAAATACAAGGTGCATGCTTGACGTCTCCGAACAACTGGTGAAGGGGTCCAATCTGATGCGAATGGCAATGTCTCCGACAATGAATTTTTCGAATGCTATGTCCCTGCTGATGGACCCAACACAACCACAACTCCGAAAGCACAGTGTATTTGGGGTATGTTACTTATTTTCCGCCAGAATAATTCTAACATGACACAGATGAGATTGTTGAGCAATTCAAATTCTTTCCTGTTCTTCATCGAATCTTATCCTCTCGTCCGAATGTCACTCCTGATAGCCATCACCACTGGTATCGGCCCGCATGGCAGGAAGACTGTGCACTACCAGCCTCCAAGTGATGACGAAGGGCCAGAACTTGCATCGGAGAATTTTTCGCAGATCCAGAGCCTCCACACAGCCCTTCAGAACGAGGCTGCACACCGTGGAATCTCCCCATCTTTTGAGTCTCCTTTCGATACTATTGTAGATCCTTCTGACTATTCTCAACCTCTTTATGATGTCGACGACAAGGAGAATGATCCTCCCCCATCTTCGCAGTCAACCCCTACCCCAACAACTAAGCAAGCCCCGAAATCTTCGTCAATGTTACAAGACAGTCTCACCAAAGCGAGACAACGGATCTCCAAGGTGCCGAAGAAGCGTACCCTTGACGAGACACTCATTGACATGCAGAAGTACATTTTATTTATTTATATTTCAATTAACCTTACTCACATATATAAGGGCCAGTTTAGATGCTATTAATGCTCGTGCTACAGCAGAGAGGCAGCTTCAAGAATGCCAATTGCTGCTCAAAGAGTTCGAGGCTGGTATTTGGAATGTTGACGAGTATCGTGAAAAGCTCCGTGAATTGATGCATGACAAGGCTGAGCCTGTGAAGCGTGCTCGTTACTCTCCAGATTGGCCAGATTGGGATTAGGGTATTTCTTTGACGAGTCTCGGTATAATTTCTGCCTTTGCCTCTTGATAAATTTTTTTGCCTTATGGTTAACTTCTAGTCACTCCTTAACACCTTTCTATTATATATACTTGTTAATAGTAGTTCAACAAATACTTCTGTTACATTTGTCGAAATGCCATCAACTCTTCTACAAGCTGTTGTCGCTTCAGTTCTCCATTATTCCCAATCACTTGACCTGGAAGGATATCAGGCAATCCTCTATCTTCTTGTTCATCAGTGTGAGTGTGGATCCCAGCAAAGTGTGCCCCTTGTACTCCTCCTTCAACATCTATCACAAGGTTATGCAGGATAATGGCCACCGTAATCCAGTTGCATGCTGCCCGATGATGGCACTTTGATGTAATGGTCACCCGAAGCCCCCGCAAGCATTGCCAGCGCCCTTTCAGAGCTCCCATGCAATGCTCAGAACGTACTCGGAGATGGGCTACTGCACTATCAAATAGAGCATTCTCGGGGATGAGAGAAGCAGGACGCTTGTGGACT